AATAAATATAGTTTAAAAAACTAAAAAAACACGCTTTTAAAGTACATCGAACTAAAAAGTTAAAAATAATTTTTAAAATAATTATGAACAAAAAATACTAGTATTATTGTGATAAAAGCGTGGGTGCTTTGTATCATATTTTTCGTATATTGAGCGCCCGACGCTTTTATCACAAAAATACTAGTATTTTTTGTTCATAATTATTTTAAAAATTATTTTTAACTTTTTAGTTCGATGTACTTTAAAAGCGTGTTTTTTTAGTTTTTTAAACTATATTTNTTTTTAGTTCGATGTACTTTAAAAGCGTGTTTTTTTAGTTTTTTAAACTATATTTATTTATTGACACATTTAAACATTAGTACGTATTCCAATAAACACAAAAGAGTTATTATTATTAATTTTCCTTTTTTAATACTTTTGTTGTACCGCGAAGACGACGAAAAAGACAACGTTAAATAAATAGTTGTCAAAAGTTAGAATTAAATGTGTAATAATGTTAGTATATTTTTTATTGTGGTCAGAGAAATAAAAGAGGTATTGATTTTGTAATATTCCAGAGGAGAATATTACATATCCAAATCATACACATTCTAATCATTTTTATTATTTGCCATTATAGCTATGAACCTCAGAAGTTGAATGAGTATTCAATAAAATATGTCATTAAACTAATCAATACTCTTCTTTCTTACTCGGGCTGGCAATCATATAACAATATAACTACAAGAAATCGATTCACTAAAGGAATTTATGTTAACATTCAGCATTTAATATGCCCAGGAAAAAGTTTAAATTATTTAAGTATACGACTATGTATACCTCAAATATTAAGATGTAGGTATATCGAAATAGTACACACTTTTAATGTAGCATTAGGTGCCATATTAAGGGTTTGCGATAAAGAATACGAAAACGGCTGTGCAGCCATATTATTTAAAATATTAGAAAAAGCCGAACTTATGTTTAATAATATGCTATTTGCTTTAGTTACATTAAGACATATATCAAATACTAATACAAAACAACGATTAATAAATACTTCAATTGATAACCTTGTAGAATCTATTATAAAGTTTATTTGCAAATTGAGAAGTAAATATTATCCTGGTATGTTTGTTTCAAGTCAAGGTGTTATTGCAATAAAATCGTTCTTTAATGATATAGCACAAGAACGCGAAGAAAATATAAATAAAAAAATACATATAGCCAGAAGGAAACATATGTGCTTTTGTAAAATGCCATCAGAACTTATAGATGAAATTTCTTTTATGTTAAAAATTCAAAATCAAATTCTAATTAGTAACTCACTTGACAACAAAAACTTAGAAAAATTTATGTGTGATTTTCTGTCATCTTTTTGTGATGAAGTTCAAATAAACGATTATGAAAAACTTGGATTTGACAGTTTATTAAGCTAAATTTATAATGTTTACTGAATAATACAATAATGTCTATTTATTTGATTAGTGAGTGTGTTTTTTTTTTCAAAATTAAACATTTGGACACAAATAAAAAACTAAAACAAGTTTAGATTTTAAATATTTTATTAATTTTTAATTTTAGTTTTTTTTCATTATTATCAAGGGTTGTATTTCCAAAATCCATTATTATAGTATAGTCCTATTTTTTAAAAACATAATAAATATTTTATTACTTCATTTTACTAAAATAATTTTATTCGGATTATTTGATATTAATTTTAGCTAATATTCAAATAAAACAACTACTTTATGAAGAAGACGACTATTAAAAATTATACAGGATGATTTTAGTTTCAATGCGAAGCTGAGATGATAATAATTTTACTATGTGTTTTTTTTGTGCCTGTTACCACTTTTTCTCAGCTCTCACATGTGTGTGTGCTTAATGCTACAGGTTCTCCTCTTCCTTCAACATGTCCTAAAGAGGGAGGAGTTAATGAAACTTAGCATAAACTAACCTTATGGGCGTGTATGAAACCCTTTTTTTTTTTTTTTTTTCTTCCCCTTCTTCTTCGACTTTGGTGTGGACCGCCCTGGAACTGTCGTGAGGCATTGCTTCAGGGCGGCCCACGTCGCCTTCTCTACTTCATACCACTGCGCTGTGATACGGCCCCAGTTTACACTAGAGCCGAATCACAGCACGGCGTAGCCTCCCCCGTTAGCCGGACCCCACTAGAGGGTCCGTTGCCCGGCTTGGACCACTTGGAGGGGGGGGGGTAGGCCATCTTCTTTTTTCTGGTTTCTGGTCGGTTTTGAAGCCCAACCATCTACCTTACTTCCACTTCCGGGGCAGTCCTTGAAGAGGTGCCCCTCCTTCTTACACCTGAAGCAGGCCTTCGATCGGTCCGGTCCCTTGCACGCGTGAGCTATGTGCCCGCGTTCTAGACACCTGTAGCACTGAGGTCCCTTATCGAGAATCCTCAGTCTACAGGACGTCCACCCGACCCGGACTCGGCCTAGACCTGCCAGGCGATGAGCAACTTTGAGGGGCACCTCGCACCTCGCATACCGCCCTTTGCCGCCAGCATTCGTGTGGACCGTATTTGGTCCCAATGTATGAAACCCAATGTAAACTAACACAACTTGCCGCACGCCTATAGATTTTACGTAATAAATCATTTTCTAAGAATTTTATTACTGCTTACCACACGCTTAGGTAAGCATTTTTAAACATTAAAGATAGCACCGTACAGTAATAATCACTGTCATATACATTTTATAAGAAAAATGGCAACGTTGTCGTTTTTCACGGCTATGCATTTTATTATTTTACTGTATAACCGGTTAAATACTCTTTATACTGTCACATACGTATTTCATTGACGTTAATGTACAGTTGATCTTTTGAAAACTATTTTTATTAGCTTCGATGCGAAGCTGAGAAGGTATTGGTTTTACTAAGATGTGTTTTTTTTTT